CGCCGGATCCGTCCGAGGTCTTCCTGGCCATGGACGTTTCGTTTCCGTGGCACCAACCGCGAATTTCGTCCGCGTCTAGGTCCGTGACCTCGAAGTCGCCGCCGACGACATTCAACTTTTCCGTCACGAAACTGGAAAGCGCCGCCATAATGTCGTCGTCGGAAGCGCCCGCGGACGCGGGCGGAGGCGGTGGGACGGCGCTCTGAGGCGGCGCCGGGGGCGCGGACTGGACGCGTCGCTTGTATTCCGGGCTTCGGAGATAGTCGTTTGCGACGGAGAGCGCCGTGCTCAGCGCGCGGAGAACGAGGATATCAATGACGCAGGTTGGAGTAGTCTCGTGCGAGTAGCTCTTTATGGGAATGACGTCCTGGGCCGGGACCCCGAGATCGTCCGCCACTGAGAGAACGGCTTCACGGATCTCGTCGGAGAGAAACAGGGTCTTGAGATCCGCGGCCACTTCCTCCGACCCTTGATCGACCTTGGTCAGCAGCACGAGAGGCGTCAAGCCGCGAGCTCGCGCGTGGTCGCGAAAGTCGCGCGCCTGCGCGGGGAGCAGGTGAGCGCCCCGCCGCGGCGCGCGAAGGTCGGGGGACGCCGGAACGGGCCCGCGCGAGGTAGCTCTCGTTGGACAGCTCCTCGTACGGAACGGCGATCAAAACGACGTGCATGTAGTCCCCGGCGACAGGGCTCGGGCGGAATCCGGGCGATCGGTCGTCGATGTGCCGCTGGTCGAGCTCGAAGCCGTCGGGCAGGTGCCCCCCGAGAACATGATTCAACGCGCCGTGCTTGTAGGTGTCCTCGGTCCAGCCCGCGCTGTCCCAGATAGCGACGGCGGGCGCGAGGTCTTCGAAGTCGTACTTGGTGAAGCGCGTCGTGATGGTGCCAGCGCCCGTCCCGCGCGCCGCGAGGCGGACCATCTCCCCCTCCAGCGCGCTGTAGATGCTGTTGACCAGGCTCGACTTCCCCGCGCCGGGCCCGCCGACTAGCAACACGTTCACCTTCGGGACCGCGGAAGCACGCGGCGCGAACGAGGCAATCGACTGCCGCAACGACAGACGCGTCTCGGGCACCCAGAGCGGTTGCGTTGGTTCCCACGATCGAGGAATGAGGATCTCAGATGACATGCAAGAAAAGGCGCCGCGAGGCTGATGGATGCTGACGACGACGGTCGCATCGTTGCTCGCGTTAATCGGACTCCATAGACCGAGCACTGTCGTTCCTCTGCTAAACTTCACGCTCTTGTTGCTCGACTTCAGGTCGATTTCAACCGTGATGACGTCACCCGTTTGTATTTGTACGGAGGAACGTTCGATGGTATCTTGGCTA